AGCTGGACTGCCCCCAACATTGTGAGCTGCTGCAGCTGATCCTCATGCCATTGCTGATTTAGGGACAGTGGTTGAGTGACTGCATAGCTGTTCCTGAGCAAAATCCAGTTGCTTTGATTACTTAACCTGGTTGTTAACAACCCAGAGCTACTTCTGTATTCAGAGAGTAGCCAGAACTGATTGTAAACTGACCTAGGGAGGCTAAGATACCATGATTTCATAGTTTCTGTAGTGGTTGTTGACCTTTTTTGGAGTCATGAAGCTCTTTTGAGAACCCGTTAAAAGCTAAAGACCTATCTCCTTCCTCTACCCCACCAAAATATATGTATACACATACAGGTGAAATTGTATATAATTTCAGATGGGTACCCGCGATACCCATATGTGAAGCCCAAGAAGAGGCTGTATGAAGGTCATTTCGATAGAAATAGGTCTGGCCTATAGGTCAGGGCCTTTGTGGGACTAGGGAGGATGTGCAGGCCATTTTCTTGGACCTCCACTTTAGGCATTCTATGTCAAGAGAAAAATACAGTCATTAAAGGTGCATGTAAGTGTGTTAAAGTGTTTATTTCTCCCATTTAAACACATTTTTCGTTTTGTAACCCTGTTTTTAGGTTGACTTCTGAGTAGAACTGCTTTAGGCATTACCTTATTTTCGATGATTAGTTTTTCTCATTATTGTAGCCCTTCCAGAAAAGCTGAAAAAGAGCTCAGTGAAGGATGTCACTGCTTGTGGCCACAGGGGGGCAGGGTAATTCCAAAAACTGAATGTGAATGCTGGCTGCTGGGTAGACTGCTGTGAACCAGGCCTTCCTCACTTGTCTTCATCACCCAGACGCTCAGAGCTGCGCCCACGTTCCGGTAACCTTTTTATTTCATACCCTCAGTGGGACTCAGCTCATCTCGTGTCCAGTGCACTACTCCCCAGTCCATGTGGGAGCTGCTCTTCAGTATCTGAGAAATTGAGAAGTCTCTTTCTCAGCCCCCAAATGTAGCACATTTAGTTGTACTGGTGAGGAACACAGTTCTAAGTGTTGGGGAGGAAGCAGTCACCAAGGGAAGTGATGGGCGGGGAGGGGAGAATTTAAATAAGGAAAGCACATTCTTATTCTATAAATGCAAATGACTTTGTTAACGAGAGTAAAGGAAGAAAATGCCATTTGTTGGACCTACCGCATGCCATTGAGAGATAATCATCTTACTTCGTATGCCTCGCTATAACTGTGACATAGGTTGTACTATCCCCACTTTGCCCAAAGTCACATAGCTAACAACTTTCAAGTCAAGATTCAAACCCTTGTCTTTCCACTACCTCCCATCACCTTTCAAAAACTCACAGAAAGAGAAGAAACCCCCTCAGGGGAGACAATTAACAAGTGTAATTAATATTGACCAAATGAAGCCCACAGATCCCCAGGGGATGCTGATTAAAACCGAATAAGGGAGGATATAATTAAGCATAATTTCCTGGACAGAGTCAGCTCTGCGCTGAATTCTGGGGGAGGCACAGGCCATGGATTGACAGAGTAATAAAAGCACTAAGGAAGGAAGGAAGTCATGTGACAAAGGAGACGAACTTAGCTGAAGCAGAAGGGTTACAGGAAAAAGTAGTGAGAGCCACAGAGGAGGGAGCAATTGTTTAATTTGTTGTTTAACTTAACAGGCATTTGCTAAGCTTCAGCTCTATGTAAGCTACCCGTGCGGGGTGGGATTACAGAATCTCAACGGGTAAAGATGGAAGGAATCGTATAAGCCATCATAGAAGAAGGGAAGGGTGTGGTATTTGAGGAATGATGAGTATTACCAGTAACATAGGCTGAGTGAGGGTAATAAAGATGACAGCAGGAAGGCAATATGTGCTCTTTAGCAACAATAGGATCTGATGAAACCACATTTTAGAATTAACTGGTAGCAGTATGTAAGTACTGGAGAAGGAATGGAGTTTGGTAGGACAGCTAAGAGGTTACTGCCATGATCCAGGCACAAGGAAAGGAATGTCTGAACCACTGGCAGAGGAAATGGAAAAGACATTTTCCCTCTAGTGTGTTCTGCTTAACACATTAGAGGTTAACTTGAACAATGTGACTGTCCCTGAGAAGCTGCTAACTCCCTTCTGAGCCCGAAAAACTATAGACTCAAACCCAAAGTACAGTGTCTCTGCGAAAATTACATGAGAACTTTTTCCAAGGAAGAAGCTCTGCTCTGTGGCTTTCCCAAGAACCTATAGGTTAAGAAGTTGGACAGAACTTCAGGAATGTTGATGGGAAGTCTGCAGAGAAGACCGGCATTTTCCTTGAGAGACGCCATGTTTCAGGCTTGGTCCTTCAGCTTTGCAAGATCAGAAAATTATTTTGACAGCCTCTCTCCAAGATAGGCTTACCTTATCTAGCCTAAGACCAAAATATAAGCCAGAATACTTTTATCCAATTACATTTAACATTCAATATTATTTTATATTAGTTTCAGATGTACAGCATAGTGGTTAGACATTTAAGTAATTTATGAAGTGATCCCCCCAATAAGTCTAGTACCTGCCTGGAACCATTTATAGTTATTACGATATTATTACTATATTCCCTATGTTGTACTCTACATTCCCATGACTGTTTTAAGCCAGGATATTTTAGAGGGAGAACCATAACCATCATCATCACCAGGAAGAGCAGAGACTTAACAGACACATCTTGGCATTGGGGCACATCATTGAGCCAGCAAGCCCTCTCCTCTGAGCCATGCCGTTCTCTGTGCTTCGTTTCTGGCCAACCCTCTCTGTAATGTTCATTCTTTGGATAAGCCAGTACCGTCCATAGGCTCCAGCCAAATCTTGCTGTGGTCAGTAAGCCATTCTCCTTTCTTTAGATCACTGTTTTTAATGGACCTCACCATTCTGTGTTGATTTTATGGTTTAACTCTGGGAAAACTCCTATTTTTATGTCCAGATTCTCAGTGGGAGATAACTTTGCTGTTGTCCCCTTATACTGGCCATGAGAAGACTTTCTACCCTTTCCCTGGGGAGAAAAAAAAAAAATGAAATACTTATTTCTCCTCTCCAAAATTCCGTTGTTGAAACTCTAAGCAATATTATCCTCTCTACTTTCTGAGATCCTTTGCTCAGTTCCATTTCGGTAGCTCTGTATCTGCCTTCTCAAGCTTTAATAACTATTTTGTCTCCCTGAGGAGAAGCTGTTCAGTCATTTTCATATGCCATTCAAGTCAAAGTCCAGGCTCAAAAAAATTAAGGTTTTTCTTGTTTTGCCTGTGACAAAATAAGGTTCACATTATTAAAAAAAACCTTTCTCCTTACTTACAAGGGACATTTCTTTGACAAATTACTTTATATTTATCACTATAGCACCCTAAAACATAATGGGACAGATGAGAGTTTAAGAAGAATGGTCAAAAATAGTGTCGCTTTATAACTGCAATAAATATTCCTTTGAAAAACATATATACAATGTTGCTTTATAAACTCCTTAAAGAGTATCATTAGATCTTTGTACCTGGTATTTTTATCTTCTATGTAATACATGATGAATATTTCTGCCTAAAGAAATGAATGAAATAACTAATTAGCTAATGAATCCTCATAGTTATTCACAAAAAACAGTAGAGTTTTAATCCTACCGGTCAAAGAGAAATGCATTTGGTGCCCCTTTTCAGACACAGAACTAGTCATTAAATATGACATGAAGTCATATAAGTCTCACCACACCTCCTGTGTGGGTACCAACACGTTGGACTGAAGCCCTTTGTTCCCTGTAAAGAGTCTGCCACCTCTGCATACTTGTCCTCAGGAATGTCGTTCTAGAAATAGACCAACCTTCTCCCTGGGATCCATGAGTCATACACAGAAGTTAATTCATTAGAGCAACCGGCTTTTCTTAGGCCCTTTGTAAAAGGATTTCAGAGAGTCCCTCACAGTCAGGCAAAAAAATTCGGGTTCCTCTTCACGTTCTTTCCAGCTCTTGCCTCATTTCCTCTCTCTGCACTTCCCCACCACCTAATATTTGGCTTTTACTGACATTTACCTGCATATTCAGAACCCAACTCCTGAGCTAGCAATGCCTGAAGCAGGAAGTAGCCCAGCAAAGCCTCCTCACCCACCCACCCAGCTCCATTCGTTCAGATTTAGAATTAAATCAAATTCCATCAGACCATCACTGTCTTCTTGGCTGCTGATCGCACTGTGAGATACAGCATGCCAATGGCAAACTTGCGTAAACTGTGTCAGAAGGTAAAACTCGGGAGTTCATCTTTTCTTTTTTTCTTTTCATCTTTGTAAAATTTATTTTTTTATAACAGAAGTAATAATTGAATACATTTTCACTATGAAACAACAAAAAGCTGAAGTGCCGCTTGTTAACTATTTAATTTGCATTGCTATATTATTTTATTGCTGTTTTTGTATTCTAGAATGTTTTTAAATACATGATTTCAATAAAATTCAAACAGTATAGAAATATGAATAATAAAAAGGAATGTATCTCAGAACTCAGTCCCATTTCCACTCCTGTCTACTGCTAACAGTTTGATGGTAGCCTTCCAGACCTTTGAAAAATGCATTTATGTACATATGTATGTACTTAGGCCGATAGTTTTATTTTTATGTAAATGGGCTCATATACACATTTGTTATATAACTTTCTTTATTCACTTACTATCTCCTAGCTTTTCATTTCACTACATTTAGCTTTACTTTATTTGTTAACAGCTACATAATACTCCATAGTCTGAGTGTACCGTAATTTATTTAGACATTCCCTTATTGCTGGGCATTTGAACTGCTTCCTGTTTGGGGTTTTGATTATTTGTTAGTGCAACAATGCTGTACCGAACATCTTTGCATATGTCTTTTTATGTACTATCTAAGAATGTCTGTAGGGCAGATATCTGGAGGTAGAATTAATGGGTCAAAAAATGTGTGCATTTAAAATTTACAATTTCAGAATTTACAATTAAAGAATTAAACACTTTAACCACTATTTCCTTTTCTTCTGCAGAGAGTTCTTTCCTGGGAACTGACATTGACTTTCAGACTGTAGACAATGATATTGTCAGCATGGAGATTTTCTTCAAAGCCTGGCTACATAACAGTGGAACAGACCAAGAACATATCCATCTTCTTTTTCCTTCACCGTCCTTCGGCAACATTTCCAGAGGCACAGATAATCCAAGTATACGCCCCCCACCCCACCCCAAAAGACATATTACGTAGGCTATGATCATCCTAGTCTAGGATTTGGAGTCTAGATTGGTGAGTCATCAGACTACAGAATAGTTGAGGTTTAGGGATTAGAGGAGGATTGGCCGAAGTTGTCCAGTGTAAGCAAAAGGAATAAGGAAAGAATTTCTAAAAAGTGACCAGTTAGAAAACTGAATGTAATTAAGTCCAGACAGCAAGGAACAGTTAGTTAAGAGGCAAAGACAGCCACCTCAATAGTTGGGCAGTAGCTATACTACATAAGAGCACAGTGAATCATATTTTTCCCAAATTTTTATTTTTTAATGCAGTAGCTATTAATGACATTATAATTTGAGGCAGGCTGGTACCTCAACATTATCAACAGGGCCTATGAGTAGAGGAAAAGAACCAAGACTAAACAAGATTAAAGAGAGGTCTTTTGAATAGGGAGACATCAAATCGAGGGGAACTAAAGCAACTACAAAGGCAGGCCCCAGGGAGGACATCTAGAGGCCCGAGACTACATTCCCAAAGCATGTCCTGGCAATTCTGGAAGCCTAGAGATCAATGCAGTGTTCTGGACATGCCAGCAGGCCTTGGATATTGTTCTGGCTGGTATTGATGCTTCATTCCAGGTCCCTCTAGATGACACAGATAAAGCCATTTCTAGTCTCATATTCCCTTTGAAGGTTGGCTCAGGACCCAGGTGGCAGGGCCTGCAAATGGGGCCATCAGTATAGTCAGCCACACTGAGTTTGGAAAAGCTGATCCCTCAAGGCCCACCTCTGAAGGAAAAGTACCAAGGCCTGTATTCCCTTTTAAGAGTGGGAGTTCAATGAGAAAAAAATGGGTACAGATTCCCATCCCCAAAGGGGAAGATACACTTTGGTCCTTTCTTTCTGGAGATAACCATCAGTTCTTTATCCCACCACCACCCCCTATTTCAATCTAGGGCCTGGGATACCTTTGACAACTTACCTGGATTTTAATCTTTCTTTCCTTCTATAAAATCTTCTTTTCAAGATCTCCTCTCCACCCCTTTTGTCCAAGGCTAATAGTATCAACTGTTTCCTGTCTTATCCTCTGGAATTCACTTCTTATCTCTTTTCCCCAAAACACTATGTTAACTCTTTCCTTTGCATTATCCTATTTCATCTTCACACAACATCATGAGGCAGGTAATGTCACCATAATGTCATTGAATCTAAGATGCTATCAATTATAAGATATACCAATATTCTGTGTAAGAAAGAATTACTTAGAAAGAAAAATACTGCCAATTTAACATAACACAATGCTTTCTTATCACTTAGAAATATTATTTTTTTTATTTATGAGAGAGCTTTTTTAAAGTTAGAGTACTATGTACAGGTTACAAGTGTGTGCCTGGTCAGTGGCAATTGTAAGATGCATATAGAGATGTTAGTATATGAAAATAATGCATCTTGGAATCAATTAAATACAATATTATCACTGTTTTACAGATGAGAAAACTGAGACTTAGCAAAATTAAACATTTTCCCAGCACCACAGAGAAAGTTAATAACAGAGTCAGAATTTGAAGCCAGGCAACACCAGAGCCCACTCCTACCCTCAGGACTAGAAATCTATATTTTGTACACTTGACTCCTCTCAGCCCAGAGGACATTCATCAAACCTAGTCTGTCTGCCTCCAGAGCCAGGGCCCTTACCTACTACACAGCCTGCCTCATGCTAGGTAATTCTAAACGAAGGGCCTAAAGATTCACTTTTCTTATTAGGAGGGCAGGCCCCTCAAAGGCCAGGAACTCCTGCAACCAGCCTTCCTTCCACTGTTGCACAGCATTTGCCTGTGGTACTATTGAGAATTTCTCTGTTTTGCCCACCCTCTTCCCATGGCTTTCAGCACCAGGATCAGAGCCTGAATGTTTATTTCCATCTGCAACCATTTTTTGGAAGTCCACAGGTCTCTGATAGAACTTAGATCCAGACTCATCAGCTCTTCTGCTGGGGAGAACTTCACTGGAATCCAGGTGCTCAAATATAGTCGGAATGAGGTCTGGGGAAAGCAGGCCTCCCATGCAGTGGAATGAGCCACCCGAGAGTTTATGCAACCATAGTAAGGACCATACTGTAGTTATCCATGGGTTAAAACACCGACACCTTGCCACACACTTGGATTTCTGTATATGTGGCTCACTACAAAACAAAACAAAACTCTGAGCGCTCCTCCTATAGAATCTTTTGAGGACTGCTCCTCAGATGTTCACTTTGACTCCTTACAAGGTTCTCCACTGCACACCACCTGCTTCTGTAGCTGCCTGGGCCCCTCTCTAGGTGCTTCCCTCAGAGGCCTCCGTCTGACGGACAAAGTGCACAGTCAGCTCCAGATGGCGTTTTTTCTAATTTCTTGGGTTTGAGGTTTGCCACCTCGGCACCTGGGTTCTGGGTGGTGAAAAGGATACCTCGTTCTAGACCCGAGCCCAGCTGAAACAGCTTTCCCAACTTTGGAACAGTCTGCTGAGACTACTGTTCCCATAGTTTTAGCCCCGGCTACAATAAGAATCATATGAGGAACATTTGAGCTTCATCCCCAGAGATCCTGATTTGATTGGTGTGAGGTAGGGCCCAGACGGCGGTACCTTTTTAAAGTTTCCTAGAAGAATTTTAATTCAGCCAGAGTTGAGAACCTTAGCCAGATAAATACAACTGTCCTGTCCTGAAGCCCAAAGACCTACAGTGAAGTCCAGCGCACAGGAATGAGGGGAAGCTGCAGTCTTAGGCAAAGTCCTTCCTATTGACTTGCTGGGCTCTAGGACACACCAGGCCAAGAGCCATCTCACCCAGAATTAATTTCTACGTCTGAGTGCCGAGCCCAGAGGGCCAGTTGTACCTGACATCTGTTCTGGCACCCTATTTTTTTCTACATTATTTCTACTTTTGTTTGTACCTCATGCTGCAGTTAATCATTTCACAAATCACTAACATCAACTACTAGCCTTCTCACAAGTACTCAACGCTTGCGTATTTGTAAGCTTGTTAATAATATTCAAACCCAGTATACATTTTATTGAAAAACTTTGTAATATCAAGGATTCAAGCATAGTGCAACAGAACATCATACACTCTGGCATGTGAATATAACTGCTGGAGCAGAAGCTTAATACAGAAGAGTATGATACCTTGACAAATAACTCATACCTAGTCAAAGCCCTCTCAGAACTGTGGTCTGGTGCCACAGTGATACTCCAAGGCCCAAAAAGTTCTATACTTTTGTTCCTTTGAAGAATTTAGAAGTAAACTGTTTCAGGAACTTACTTATTCCTCCCCAGCCCCCAAATGTCACTAGAAGAGCCAACAGAGGAACAATAGCTATCAGCTGACTGCCTGACTTCTGCTTTCCTGCTCTTCCTTCATCTGACCTATAGTCTTGCCAAAGCTAAGCCGCTACAGGGAAGCAGAAGAGGCAAGATTTCCTTCTGTAAAAAAGGCCTCTGCATATTGTAGTGTTAGCTGCCTCTTCCACAGAGGACACATGTTCCTCTCAGGCTGGATCCTAAACCAGATCTCTCAGCCAGCACAGGAGTAAAACGAGTAAAAATCATGTCAGACCCAGAAAATGTTACCTGTTGTGTAGAGCAATACTGTAGGTCCCAGATCTGCTCTGCCTTCCCAAACCAATCTTACTTTTCTCTTCCACTCTTCTGCCTCCTCCCAACTCTTACTTGCCAGGTGGAGGTAGAACTGGTGACAGATGTTGTCTCTTAATTGCATATCCTGAGGTAACTTGTGACAGACATCCGTCCCCCAGTGTCATTTTTATCCTAGTGTGCCTGAAATGTGATCTCCAAGAGCGACTCCTCAGCCCGTCCTTACTCCCTGGTACAGCTGATGGCTCCTTGAGAATGGATGACCCCAAAGGAGACTTCAGCACACTCTACCAGATGGCTGCCCAGTCCTCGGCCTGTCATTATAAGCTCCGGGTGATCAAGTATGGTCCACGGGAATCTCCCTAATCCATGCAAATACTTATTCTTATGAGTTTTATGGCTAGAAAGCCTAAAGAGAGAGGATATCCCCAAGCGTTGGGCAGGCAGGAGTCAGGTATGGGCTGAGCACAGCCAGGCTGCTCAGCATGCAGAGACAAATGAGCGGATGGTGGAGATGTGTGCAGCAGCAGGACACTTGGAGGTCTGGATGAGGACTGGAAATCCAAAACATCTCTAAATGAAGGGAAAAACAAAATCCACAGAATGGTGTTTATCCATTCAGTAGATATTTACTGAATACCAGTTGTGTTTAGGCATCAGGACAGAAATCTGACCTTCAAAGAACAAGTGGTACAAAGGCTCTTCCCCTGCCCTCCCGTTTCTCTAAGCACTAGAATTCCCGCTTCCAGGGAAGCCAAGTCCAAGGAAGAATTAGCAGTGATGGCAAAGGCCACCTTTACTGCTTCCGGTTCCTCTGGCAGTGCCCATGCACAGGTTTCTGAATAAATTTGTTTATGGGTTTGTGACCATAGATGCTGCTAGGAACCTTCTTAGATGCATCCTCTTCTTCGATGCATCTTCTGTCAGCACCTCACCATACAAGAGCCAAGACTGGGATGCAGATGGTTAGCATACTGTTGTGTTATATGATTGCTGTAGCAGGGGTATTATGGGAGTGTCACTAGGGAAGTCACTTGGAATAGAATGAGCTCAGGAGAAGAAATATCTACTAGAGTCATGAGCCTTCATGATGGCTGCTCCATTCATTGATTAACAGGCTTTGAGAATGTGCTATGTGCCTGATACCTTGCTAGGTACTGGCCAGACTAGATGAATAAATTCATAGGCCCTAACCTAAGGGATTTCACAATAGGGTCATAGACTTATCTGAATTTAAGTATATCTAGGTCAAGGTTCTGGATATCACTAAGGAGCTTTCACTGCCGTTGCCTCTTCCCAGGGCTGTAAAATCAACTGGTATCTGTGAGTCAGTCACATATGGACTCCCATTTATCCTGAGACCCACGAGCTGTTGGCAGCTGGACTGGGATGAGCTAGAGACAAATCAACAGCGTTTCCATGCTTTGTGTCACAGCCTGCTGGTGAGTACCCATATCCCCAGGTGAGGAAGAGGAAGAGTGTTAAAATACCAACCACAGAAAAACAGTTAGCTGAATGCTGCCCTGATCCCAAACCTGTTCCAATCCTGAAGAAGACAGGAAAAAAACTGGAAAATCTCTGAAATGTGGATTAAATATGACTTGCTTTTGTTGGTTTCATGTTATAAAGAATAATTCCTGAATTCAGTTATATGACACTAAACTTTAAATACCCTGAGTTTTTACCTTTAAATGGTAAAGAGAAATGTCCTTAAATAACTATATTTTTAAACTAATTTTCTTCCTAACACCGTGCTGGCCATTATGGTTCATTTACATAAAGAGCACCTAGTCTTTGCCAGACATTCTTCTAAGCCCTAGATATTTAGTGGAAACATAACAAACATTATCTACATAATGCCTCAAGAAACTTACTCTCTAATGGAAGAGACAGAATTAAACATATATAGTTCTAATTCTGAGAAGTTTATGAAGGAAAAGAAAAGGCTGCTATCAGAGAACTTCTCTGTGAATGTGACATTTAAACTGAAGCCTGCCGGGTGAATGGGAGTTAGCCACCAAGCACAGGGAAAGGCATGTGCATCAACCCCAAGGCTGAAAAGAGCTCAGAGAAGAATCGAGAATGAAAAGGCCTTTATAACAGAGTGAGAGGAGAGAGCCACTAGGTGGGGAGGAGAATTGAGTAGGGGTCAAATTATGCAAAGCTTTGTAGGCCAAAGTAAGGACTTTGGGCTTAAGGACCAAAAGAAATCATGAGAAATGACATCATCTATCTAAGTTTTTATAAGATTACCTGGGCCAAAATTTGGAAATGAACCAGCAGAGGCAAGAATGGAAACAAGAAATTGAGGCAGTTGGGCATAACAGTCGTCTTGGCAAGAGATGATGGTGGCTTGCACACAAATGCTGGAAGTCAAGAAGAGAAAGGTAAACCAATTAAGGAAATGTTTTAGAGACAGTGTCGGAATTGGTGACGGATCGGATGTAGGGAGTGAAGAAGAGAAAAGTATCAAATAACTGCCTGGTTTCTGATTTGGACAAGTATGTGTATGCCATTGCCTGAAATGGAAAAACTAAGAGATCACATACATGAAACGGTAATATAACACTTACAAAGCAAAATAAAACAACCGCAAATATAAGCCAAAGACATGTAGAACTGCTAAGTGGATACAGAATAAAAGTTTGACCTAGCAGAACATGGGTGATCAAGACAGCACAGCAATTCATCTCTTTCGCTATCAGAAGCAGGCTTCTTTTTTTTCCTGTTTCAAAGCCCACAGTCCCTTTTAGGTCCACCCACTGAGTTCCTGTTTCCTATTTGAAGAGCACTCTGCTGTCTTTGCACAGCAGAGACAACAGATATTTCTGACTGTTAGAGCCCAACAGCTTAGTTTACTATTTACTCCACCCAGTTCCTCAGGATCTCAGAGGTGGTACATCACTGAGGAGAAATTTTTCTCAAGTGGCTTTAATACACATTCTTCTAGTTCCTGGTATTTTAAACAGACGTTGGTATTATAATGCACTGCTAGAGGGAGTGTGCATGTTCTGGAAAGTGATCCTTCAACACTTTAATTCCATTGCTGGAAATGTAGCCCAAGAAAACAATTGGTAAAGGAAGCAAAGATATATAAACCAGCACATACATCTCACTAAGTGCTAGTCACTTAACCAAGTGCTTTGCATACTCTACCTCATTTAATCTTCACAATAACGCTGTGAGAATAGGGATTCTTAATCTCGTTTTTACAGATGGGGAAGAGTGAAGTCTGAGAGATTAAGTGACTTATCGAAGGTCACACAGCTACCAAAGTGGCTGAGTCAGAATTTGAATCTAGTTCTGTGGACTGCAAAGCCAATGCTTTTAACTTCTTGCTAAATTCCCTCCTTTGGATATAGCCAGATAAATACAGACTACGACACTGAGGCTAATTCTCCCTTCCCTGAACACCCCATACTTCTGTCCTTCACTGGATGTAAATTCACTTAAAGTGACTGGGTACTTGTAAGAGCTCCTCTCTCATCTTACATTACTATTCTCTCCACTCTGTTTGTTCTGCCTCATCCCGGTTAAAGACCACTCTCCTTTTCTGGAAAAGAGAAAAGCAAGATAATGTTTAAATGGCTCTTCCTTCTTGCTTTTCACATGACACCTTCTCCAAGCAGCAAAACGCCTGAAAGGCAGTATGTTACAGAGAGAATTTCTCACAGGCCTCAGTTCATTCATTTAACAACATGTGTGTTTCGAGTGCCTGCTATGTGACAAGACTTACTTAGAATTTTAACCTTCCTGATCCTGTTTGTGCAAATTCTTAGCACTTCTTTAACTCCATCGTTGGTTTTGTATTCTTTCTTACACCTTTCTCATACGCTCTTTTAAAATCAGATATTGTCAGCTCCCCATGTAACTCTTGCCTTCTGTTCTCATTTGTGATGTTTCCTCTCCAGCTAACTTCTCACTCTAACTTCTGTCTTTCTGTTAATAGTAGCACCGCCGTTGCCTACTCACCCAGGCTTGAAACCTCAGTCACTTTCAGCCTTCTCACCCTTTACGCCCACCTCATCATTAAGTCATATGAGTTAACCTCTCATAACATGGATTATAAATGTCCTTTCTTTCCCATCCCCACTGCTTGTTCACACCAAGACTTCCTCAGTAAACTTCCACCTAGCTTCCCTACCTCCAAGCTCTCCCTCTTCTCATCTCGAAGTATTCCTTGACTATCACATGTTTCTCCATGGTGCCAGCACCCAGTGACTTTAGCCTTGCCTGTTCTGTCCCCGTAGCATCTACTGGTATTTGCAGGTATCTCTCTCCATCATTATTTATCACTATTCTAGCTCAGGCGCTTTCTACCTCTTACCTTTAATATTGCAATAATCTCTTCACTAGTGGCCCCATGTGGTGTAGTCTCTGCTTATATCATAAATAAAGAAGCACTGTCCAGAGACCAAAAAGTAATTTTAAAATTACTTTATTTGTGCTTTCAAAGAATTTATTTTTTGAATTATTTGCAAAAAGGAAATAATTCATAACTTATAATGACATTTCTCAAATTTTCTTCTTCTACTCCTCAATTATGTCTAACCTGGAGCTACTCCAAGACCCTTTCTCTCTCTCTCTCTCTCTCTCTCTCTCTCTCTCTCTCTCTCACACACACACACACACACACACACACACACACACACACACTAAAACACTATCTGCAGCCCCAGTCCCTGTTCCTCTATCTTCTTTCTCCCTTTCTCAGCCAGATAAACACTCTGCAGATTGACAGTCTCTTTGACATAGTCCCCTCCCTTCTCAGGTCCTGTCTCTCTACCTATTTAAAACTTCCAGGATAGAACTTACAAGGCTTCTCCTTTCATGAGTAGAAGTGAAGTCAGGGAGAAGGAAAACAAGGGAGAAGGTGCATGACAGACACATATGAGTAACTCTCATCCCTGTCATCTGTAGAGACAATAAAATATACTTCCTATGGTTTTTAAGATGATTAAGTAATGTTGAGTATATAAAGAACCTAGCATATGTTTGGCATACAATTTGCATGTAGTGGTTGGTTAGTAATTCTACAATTTCCATTTGTTTCTTTTTTATGATAATTCTCTAGAGAAATTCTCCATATTTTCACTTATTTTCTTGAACTAATACTAATCATAATTATTTTAAGATTCTGATCTGCTAACACCAATACCTGGATCACCTGTGGCTTTGTTTCTATTGTCCCTTTTTCTTGTGGTTTTCAGACATGTGGTCTTTTCTTTTGGTGTACCTGGTAATATTATAATGAAAGATGCTCATCATGTCTACATAAATTGTAGAGGCTCCAGTTGGTGCTGGCTTCCTCTAGAGAAGATTCATCCTGCCCTACACTAAGCAGACAGAGTAGTGGCAGATCATCTCACTCCAGTCAGGAGCTATGCTGAGTCAAGACTGAGCTGCAGTGCTGCTAAGGCTCCATCTACCCCTAATATGCTCCTGACCCTCCGGGATTTTCCACTGCCAACCTGGTGTATTGTTTGTGTCCCCTCCCCTGAAAAATCCCAACTCTAATTCCTCTACCCCAAGTCTGCTACAGTGTTCTCCTTCTAGAGGCTTTCTCTTTTGGGTGTCTTTGCCCTAGTATCTGGCAAATGTGCTAAGCGAGAAATTGGTTTGAGCACCCATCCCAACCCTGCCAAGTCTCCACCAAAAGACTTGCTGGTTTCTCTGTTCCCTTGCAGATGCCTCAGCAGGTGCAAATTCTAGATTCTCAGCCCCCATCCCGACTCTCTCCGACTCAGAATCAACATATGCCCTCATGGTAAAAGCAGTTGCAGTAATTCCTTCATCTCTCTGGCGTCTTCCCTCTCCAGAGACTTAGCTGCCTTTCATTTTCATTGTGACAGCACCTCTTCACTATCTTCAGATAAATAGATTCTGTATATCGTCCAGCTTTTCTAGTTGTTCCAGGCAAGAGAACCAGTCTGTCACTGGCCACTCCAGCCTACTCAGATGCAGAAGTAGATGCTTATTAAATGTTCACTTATCTCTCCTTTGCATTCCTTATCTGGCTAGGCAACTCATAATACATTTTCAGGTTTACCCTCAGCCTAAAAGGAGTGGAGGAAGAGACAGTGTTGAATGAATTGAACTCTGCTTATACCATGGTTGGTGGATCCACCATGTTCTCATTATCAGGTGCCTGGGTTTCCTTACAGGTATAAGCAGAGTTCAATTCATTCAACACTGTCTCTTCCTCCACTCCTTTTAGAGCAATTCTTCTGAACAAAGTCCATACTGCCATAATTAAATTCTAGTCATTAGTGCCAGCTCACCAGGCCTCATCAACTATAAATGTTGTGTAACTTCAAATTACATTTTACAAATACCCTAAAATTTAGTCAACTACAGTCTTAAGTGTTATTTCATTCCCTGATTTTTTTACTTGAAAATTGAATGTTGTATTTTTCTGTCCTACTTATAGATTATTTTGTTT